GTGGGGAAGCAACTAATTATGTCACTGCTCAACTACCCGATAAGCATAAGTTTATCAGGTAGTCAACTAGTTGCTTACATTCCTAGCTGGCTACAATAAAGGCATATGATAATGCTGCTTTTGCCAATTTTTCCATATTTGGGCCTTCGATTGTATGTCAATTTGTCAAGAATCATTCCTTAAATAGAACAAGCAGTTGTATGGATGAATTAATATTTTTTGAGTGGGAAATATTGAATGTTTCCTATTTCTTGATGATGAAGTAAATTTAAAAAAAAAAAAACAGGCACAATCCTGCAAGTACTTAATACCAGGAGTGGAACTTACAATCATGGACATCTTCATGATTGACTTTAATGGGACTAGTCATAGTATAGCTCAGTGGTTTTCAAACTTTTTTACTCGCAATCCAGTTGAAGAAAATTGTTGATGTCCATGGCCCAGCGTAATTACATCTTTTTACTAGAGTGCAGGGTCCAGGGTGGAGCTGCAGAAGTGAGGGATTGAGAGAATGGGAGGGGTAGGGGGGAGAATAAAGGCTTTGCCTGGTGGTGTGGGCTCTAGGATGGGGCCAGAGATCATGGGTTTGGAGTGAAGACTGAGAGGAGGAGAGGGGTTCAGTATGTAGGCAAGGTCTCTTGGCTGGGGCATGGGAGTGGGTTAGGGGAGAAGGGGACGGGGTTTCTGAGTTTGGAGGGGCTCATGGTTGGGACAGGAGATTGTTGGGGCATAGGCTTACCTCCGGCAGCTCCTGGTCAGTGTTGCAGTGGGATGGTAAGGCAGGCTTCCTGCCTGTCCTGACATGGAGGACCGCACTGCACCCTGGAAGTGACCAGCAGCAGGTCCTGCTCCACAGGCTGCCACTGCCCCAAGCTCTGGCTCCACTCATCCATTGGCCGGTTCCCAGTATATCGCCAGGCATTGCTGAGTAAAGTGGATGGAGCCCATTTTAGGTTTGCTTTGAAATGGGATTAGCTTCATTTTTTGGCTTGTTTTCCTTTTTTATCTTGTGAGAGTTGGCTGCTTGCCTCCACGTAGGAGCTAGACCTGCTGCTGCCCGCTTCCAGGGCACAGCACAATCCATAGTGTCAGGACAAGCAGGAAGCTGGCCTTAGCACCGCCACTGGTCACCTGGTCACACTACAACAAGGCAACCCACTGCCTGACTTTCTGAGAGCCAGTACTGGGTCAGGACCCATACTTTGAAAATCGCTGGTATAGACTATGCTTGATAAGTAAGGTGTGGATCCTCAAAGGCAGTGAGTGGTGTCCAACAAATTCTGTAGTGGCTACTGCTATAGTAAATTAGCCATACTCAACCAGCCCAATAGCCACATTGTTCAAGCCAACTCGCCACACTTAACTGGCAAATAACCACATGCAGCTAGTGGCTAGCGTGTTGGACATCACAGCTCAAAGGTATTTAGCTGCCTAACTGCAACTGATTTCAGTGGGAGTTAGGCAACTAAATACTTTGAGAATCTGGGCCTAAGTTGTTTGTCGGATCAGACCCTAGCTTTGTAAATATTGCCTTTGTTACTCTTTTATTTCTCCATTCTTTCACTTTATAAATTTCACTACAAATTATCAAGGAAATAATAAAAAATGCTATGACAGACCCTGACCTCACTAAGAAATTAGTGGAAAACAAAATAATTATCCTTTAAACCATTTTAAAATAAACAAAATGTTAGTTTTAGGTAATGTAGCTTATGTGGGGAGGTGGACTAGCCAGTGGTTTGAGCATTGCCCTGCTAAACCCAGGGTTGTGAGCTCAATCCTTGATGGGGCAAATCTATCAGGGATGGTACATGGTCCTGCCATGAGGGCAGGGGACTGGATTCAATTACCTCTCAAGGTCCCATCCATCTCTATGATATATATATATATATATATATCTACGACGCAAAGCTCTCTCTTGCATTTTGCCCAGAAACACTCATTTTTTAAAAACAAGTAGGACACTGACTAGAGCTTGCTTAAGGTATAAACTAGTCAACTGAAGCTTTTGATCTATTCCACTGGCAGGCATCCTCTCACTCATATATGGTTACTCAAAATTTTTCTCTTTCTCAGAACAGAACGACTTCAGAGAGCAAAAATACGTGGAGAGATGTAATTCTCCTATGAATGTTGTTTTAATCTAGCCAGTGATGCAGGTTTCAAACTGTTCTTCCAAGTGCAGTACATTTCATCTGCTAGCTTCTCAATTTGTTGTACTGTAGGACTGGATACTCAGAAATTATTTTATGGGAACTTAATCTCTGTAAAAGTATGTTAACTGTCTGACAATAATACAGCTGAATTGACATTTTGTAAAGATAGTCAAGAATCAGGTGTGGCTATTTAGTGGAGAAAATGTCTCTGCATGGCAACAATCTTCTGGCATTGAGGACTAACAAAATAAACCCATTGATTGTGTAGTGTTGTATGCTTTAGTTAAATCCTCTAAAAATATAACTGCTTATAAATGTAGTATAAAAATGCACTGCAAATGGCTCAACAAAGACACATGGATGAAGCTATATTTTGGCTAAATGTCTCTAAAATCCAGCACATAACTTTTAATTAGAACGGAACCATTTCATGGCTTAATGCCCATTTTGAAGTACTCTCACACTTATAACTACTTTACCAGCATGTAAGATTTTTTTACAGTAAGGAGGTGTAAAGGCTGTACTACTGGCCCCATCAAAGCTTTTTACTCAGGTTCAGAGGTTTGATTAAAATGGTATTAACCTACTCTTTGCCCTGATGATGGGCAGGGCTCATATGTCAAATAAATGGAAAAGGAAAGAGCCATATTGTACACAATTGGTAGGTAAATTACAGAGTTTCTCTGATGTTGTTGTAGAAGGATCTATTTGGGAATCGTTGTGTGAACTGTGTTCCTGAAGGAGAAATGCTTGGAGAAAATATGTAACTCTACTCAGACATATGTTGCAAGTCTATTAAAAGAATATGTATGTGAACCAATGGATTTATGATGCATAATAAAGGGAGCTCATGTGATTCTTGGTCCCAATATTAAACAGAGATTCTCATGGCTGCTCCATAAGTACTTGTGTCTCCTAGCAGATGTGCTTGCAGACCACTTCCAGTGTACAGTTGCTCATTGTAGCAAAGGTTACTTCACATGCTATACTGCGTTGTTCGAGGCCTGCTCTTTGGCCTATAGAGGACGAAAAGGCATTTTGGAGATTGGAAGGAATGAGATGTGAGACCACATGTAGATACTCTGCAAGCTGCCTAAACTTGTACCCTGGCTGATGTGCATTCTTTTGGGAATCTAGTAGTTATGTCTCTTCTAAACCAGGAGTAGCATAGGTGATTACTTTTGACAGGGCTCTGAAGTAAACATTTTTGGGTATATATGTTTCATATCCCAAGGAAATTGCATATGAAGATAAAGAGACCTCCCCATATTTAATCAAGTGGGGCCTCCTGTGTTAATTGTGACAGATTGCATAGTATACAGCTGCTGGAAAGCTGGATCAGATGGGGATCAGTCGGTAGACCTACTCAGATTAAAAGCTGAAGGGTGTGCCATGGCCTAATTACATAGCCCTTTGTGAAGTATCAGTTTAGTGATCCTTTGTGGCTTAAAGTAACAGGGGAGCACAGGGCAAACAGCTTGGGAGTCTTCTGTGCCTGGAAACTTGTTAGCATATCCCCATTATCTGTTAAATAGGTTTATATACAAATACCTTGTGGTTTTGGTTTTGGTTTCACATCTATCAGGTTTCATTCATTTTTTGCATTTTGTAATGGTGATTAAATGCAAGAAAGGAAACTTCCCAAATTCAACAAAATGTGTGAAAATGTAAAGTTCTTGTGACACTTGCATACAGGATTTTGGAGCTCAGATTTGGAACTGTTGATTGGTGCTAAATACACTAAGTGCAGGGGAAGTACAGTCCTCCTTTTACCCAGTGTCCAGACTCTTTCTATGACATCTGCATGTCTGCCTTTTCCCTACTATTATGTAGGGATCCATAATAGCCTCCGGGGATTGCTACTGTTCAAGAAATTTTCTGACAAACTGTAACAATATGTCTCAGTGGGCCCACATGGATGTACAATCTATGTTCTGCTAAAATTTAGGATATAATGAAAATGCATTGATAAGACATGGTTCTGGAATGCAAAGGGACATGGCATAAACGCTAATGTTGAAATTTGTTTATATTAATATGTGCATTTTATCCAACATATTTTATACTGTAAGCTTTTTGGGGTAGGCACTGTTACTGTATCTTTGTACAGCACCAAGCACAATGGGGACCTCACCTATTTGAGTCCTCAAAATGCCAACATAATATTAATGTTAAGTAATAATAATTACCTAAAATAGAAAAAATAGTATTGACATATTTACTTTACAGTATTAATTACCAGTGAGATGTAAGCCTTCAATATAGCCTTTGTGAGCTGTAATGTGTATAGAAACATTTCTAAAGTAATATAAGTTGTATTATATTTAATTTCTTATAGTCTTGTATTGCCAAAATGTCAGATTTACCTATTTTTCCTTCATTTAAAAGGAACTCAAAATTGTATATTCTGTGGGTTCTGTTTAGTGAATCTTCCATTAAAAGTGTACTCAGAAACCAGAAGAATGCACTGAGTATTTGAATAAGGGAGTTTTGTATCGTTTTTGTCAAATTTTTGTTCGGTTATTCCTATTCAAGCATAAACGATAATAATTACAGGCTAAGGTTAACACAAAAAGGACTCTTCCCCCTACCATTTTATTTTATAGTAATGTTCAATAAATAAATATGACTTTTGGGAGTACCTGTAGTTAGAAGCTTTGATTCTGTGATAATATTCCGGTTCCTCTCTAAGACCTGTAGGCAAAAGACATGCATGAAGAACCATCAAGCTAAGAATGAGGAGAAGTGGAATATCACAGAAGGAAGAAACATATTACAAAACTTGTTGTGTTTTTAGTCTTATTGTACAGTAACAAGTATTTTAATAATTTTTCTTTTGTCCAGATGCTAGATGAAAATCACCACTTAATACAGTGTATTATGGACTATCAGAGCAAAGGCAAAACAGCAGAATGTACTCAGTGAGTATATTTACTTTGGAATATTTTGGATATTATTCCTGTCCTTACCACAAAGTGCAAGAAGAACACTCTGAACAGTGTTGCAAAACTGCCACTGACAAGAGTACTCGGAATGCTAATTTTCTAAGATGTGTCAACAAGTATACATTATTTTGGGACACTGTATTTTTTTCACATTGAATATTTTAAGCAATGCTGTTGTACAAAATATCAGGATCAATAATATACCAAAGCAAAGGTAAAATTGTGCAGAAATCAAGACAGTATGGGCACGTCTAGACTACCCTTGACTTCCGAAAGAAGATATGCAAATTCAGCTTGAATTTGCATATCTTCTTTCTTTTTTTTTTTCCCCTGGAAGAGGATTAAAGGCAGCCTAGATGAGGTTTTTTGCACAAACCCACCCTTTTTCGAAAGAACCCTGTAAACCTAATTTTTTGAGGAAGAAGGGTTCTTTTGAAAAAGGGGGAGTTTGCACAAAAAAATCCATCTAGACTGCTTTTTTTTCCTCCCCTGAAAAACCTCCTCCAAAAAAGGGATCAGAAGAAGATGTGCAAATTTGTGTCAAATTTGCATATCTTCTTTCGGAAGCCAAGGGTAGTCTAGACATGCCCTATTAGTGTGGTTGATAAGAGGTGAAAGATACCTTCTGAAAACAAGAAAGAAAGCTGAATATTTTGGCAGTTTTTAAAGGAAAATTTTAAAACCGACTACAGTTTGTGACTTGCACATCACTCTTCTCAGTAGAAGAGCAACACTCAGAATGAGGAAGGATAATGGCAGTTTTGATTTTTAAGAAACATGAAAAGTAAATTGAAATTTAAATATTGACCGGATCCTGCAATTATTTTGCATGCAGATTTTCCACTAAAATCAAGTATGGATCAACTGCAGGACTGGCCCCCTACGCTATAGATGAAGTAGGAAAAAGGAATTGTGAGAAATTTCGAGTTCTGCGTGAAAAACAACAGTATTTTCTTGTAGGACCTAATCCTGCACTCATGATGTGGGCAAAATGTCTAGGATTGAGCTATTATCAAATCATACCACATGTGCTGTTTTTAAAAACATGGTCAGTTAGTGTGTGAGAAAATCCTTTACCATATGAAAATGAAAGTTAAGATCTGTTTTGCTCTTAAAGGGTGCATTCCTCTTATGAGGCATATACAGGTAACTCCAATTACAAAGAAGTTATGCATGTGTAGTCAGGGGAGACTGTAGATCTGTATATAATTTGGTAAGATCTGGCATTCAAAAACAAAATGATTAGTCTTCAATAATATTCTCAACACGTCACTTACAAGGTAATTACAAGGAAGTATGAATTTAGGATTATGGCACGTTGATAATATAGTTTTGTCAGAAGGGGATTTAATTTTAGAGCTCAAAGATCTTGGCGATCCATGCCTAAAGAAACTGAATAAAGGCTTGTTAATTTCCATAAATTGTTCTTAAACATTAAATCAGTGTACATTTTTATTGTAAACATGGATTAGATTTCAGGGACAAGTCAAACCTGACCAATGAGGGGTCAAGTTGAGGGAAGGCAGGCATGGGAAAGCTGTTACTCTTTCAAAAAGAAAACTGCATAGGGAAAGGACAGAAAGGGTGTTTACCATGTTACATGATAATGATTCAAGACTTCATCACAAATCTGAATCCTTTTCTGTAGGGAGATGGGATTTACATCCTGCACTGGTATTTATTCACACAAGACCCTGACCACTAAAAATAACGTAAAGCCTTAGGAGTTTAGGCACCTCTTTTGCTCTGCTACATGTTCCTTTCCATCATTTTCATTATCATCATTTCGGGATTCATTTTGCTACTTCATTTGCACCCACCAAAAGAAAAGTTATACAGTAAAAGTTGTTACCTTTTGCTCTCATGGTGCCTCTCCAACTTCCAAAAGTTTGATTTGCCTTATCGCTCTGTGGCACAGTTTTTAATATTTTGTTTCTTGGTTCTCTCCTGCTTCACATCATGATCTTTTTAAGTTCATTAATGATTGGGAGGAAGCTTGAATGTGTCACATGGCTTCAGTTGGATGGCAGTAAGCATACAAGTTAAACTCAAAAGAGTTTCTTCTCCTGACGTTGCTTACAGGGGAAAAAGGTTTTGTTTTTTGGCGCTCCAATATGTATACTCTGTTAGGAGTGTATTGAAATAAAGAAAGAGACTAATTGTTAGAGCAGAGCAGGAGACAAAATAATCAAGACTCTAAGCTTTATTCCCATCTCTGCTGCATTGAGAGTATTTTCAAACAAGTAAGATATTAGACAAGGTAGGTATGGTAATATCCTGTATTGAGACCTGAAGAGCTCTGTGTAAGCTCAAAAGCTGGTATCTCGCTAACAGAAGTTGATTCAGTACAAAATATTTCCTCACCCTCCTGTTTTTTCTCACTGGTCACTTTACTTATTGAATTTACCCATTTGTAAAATGGTTGTTAGGTATTCTGTAACTTTCTGAAAAGAGGCAGGACATTACAGGAATGGCTGTTATTATCATTATTTATTAAGATGAGATGAAAGTTGACTAGTTTACATTTACTGATGATTTATAGATAGGGCAGAGAAGCAAAGACTGCAATGAATTCATGAAATGGGATATGTTGGTGTTGCTAGCTCTTCCCAAAGTAAGATCTATTCCTTATTTTTTAGATACCAACAAATCTTGCACAGAAACCTGGTTTACTTGGCAACAATAGCAGACTCTAACCAGAATATGCAGTCCCTGCTTCCTGCAGTAAGTACCAATACTAACATCAAATATAGTAAAAACAACCTGCAGGTAAGTGCTTTCACTGTTATATATACCCTGGACCTGTAATTTCCATTCCAATTCATCTGATGAAGTGGGTTTTATCCACAAAAGCTCATGATATAATATATTTGTTCATCTCTAAGGTGCCATGGGACTGCTTGTTGTTTTTAAAATTATAGGTTAATATAGCTACCCCTCTGAGATCAAATACAATGTTAACTATACATATGACAATTCTTTTGAATATTAATTGGTGACAAAAATCTGTTCATAGTTAGCCATTTTAATACTTTTAGAAAAAAAATTGAAAAAAGTTCTGGATTCCAATGGACAATAATAGAAAAATTACTTTATGAAAGTTTTTATTGTTTTTAAAATATTTGTTGTATTTTTTTAATCCTGCCACTTGCAGAACCAGGTGCCCAAATTACCATGAATCCAGCTGTACAGGGTTCAATAGGATCTTTTAAAAATATCTTAATCACTAAAAATTGCTTTTCTGTACTTTAAAATTCTTGATTGCATGTGCTAATATCTCAGGATCTTCTTAGACTTGAACCAAATGCACATTGGTGCTTAAATCTGCCACCATTTAAGGATTAAATGTTGCATGTTTCTTCATAAAATAGTACCTTGTTTTTTTGCAAGGCACATGCATAGTGATAAGCTAAGTGTAAAGATCTGGTCCTGTACCACTAAAGTATATACAGGTTGAACCTGTCTAGTACAGCACTACCTAGTCCGGCAGCATCTGCGATCCGGCATGATTTTAATTAGCCGGATGCCCACTTTTCATGGCTGTGGCCAAGTTTTGCATAGTCCCATGGAGTTTGTTTACAGCTAATAGTCCTGGCTCTCAGTGCTCTGTGCTGTTATTTAGCTCTAATTTACCCCTAAATGTCTTCTAAGAGTCCAGTAAGCAGAGGAAGTGTTGGTAATGCTGCTAACAATATTGACCTTCCATGGATTGGCAAATTCTCTGATTCGGCACCAATCAGGTCCTGAGGGTGCTTGCTGTACGAGAAAAATTCAACCTGTAGTAGTTCTGTCATTGACATCAGTGGGGACAGAATAATGCAAAATGCCTATTCCAGATTGAAAAATACGGTCTAAAGTTACGGGGTTTATTTCTGCAGTACTCTTGCAGGAAAAACTCCCACTGACTTCAAAGGCATTTTTGCCTGCATAGGAACTTCAGGATTGAGACCATATTTTCATATTTGAGGTCAAAAGGGACCACTGTAATCGTATAGATCTTATGCATAATAAAGGACATAGGATTTTATTAAGTAAATTTCTGTTTGAACTAGAGAACATCTTTTACAACAGCGTTTCTTAAAGTGTGTTCTGCGGCACACGGTGTGCTGCGATGCAGTCAGAGGTGTGCTGCGGAGAGAACAGAAAAAATTCTACTCTCCTGCAGAGCCCGTAGACAGCTCCCACTGCGGCTGCCTCTCCTCCCACCCCCGCCTGCAGGACGGCCCCTGTCCCATGGGGCCTCCACTGCTGCGCAGCCTCTTCCACATGTGCAGGCGGCGGCTTTTACAGCGTCCGCTGCTGCTGGGAGTGGGAGGGGTGGCTGGAGCTGAGGAGGTCCGCTCCGGGACCTCTGCAGGGAACGCGGCTCAAGCTTTGCCCCCTCATCCCACCTGGGGCGCACTTGAGCTCTGCTGCCCCCCATGTGCTACTGCTCTCTCTCCCCTGCACCCCTGCCCAGCCTGCTCGGGAAGTGGCAGAGTTTAATCTGGCGGGGACGGTCGGGGTTTCTATTTCTCCTCCCACAGCGGGAAGCCTGGCCTGGTGCTGCAGCTGTGCTGGGTTCCCCGCTGCATGGGTGGGGGAGGGGGAAAGGGGAACTAAGCTCTCCGGCCCCCACACCCCCGCAAAGGAACAAGAGCATGCTCCCTGGAGGCTTTCCCTGCTGCAGCAGGGTGCCCAGCCAGATAAGTGTCCCCCCTCATGCCCAGACCCTGCACCCATATCCCCCTTACTTCTCTCCCCCTGCCAAGACCCTGCATTCCCAACTTGCTCTGGCACCATGTCCCAAGTCCACTCCTGCACTCTCCCTCCTGGCCAGACTCCCTGCCCCAAAACCCTCCTCTGCCCTCTCTCCTGGCCAGACACATGACCTTATTTAGCATTTGTTTATTATTATCCTTACTTTTTTGTGGTCTACATTTTCAGCTCCATGTACCAGACTGTTATTAGGGCAGTCTTCCTGGGGGAGGTTGGGGGGGCATCATGGTGGATTTCGACCCCCAGGCCCAGTGGGTTTTTTTTTCTCAACAAGTTTTCCCTGGGGTTGCTTTTTTTTTTTCCAACCAAAAAAAAAAAAAAAAATTCTTGGTGTTCCCCATAAAAAAAAAATACTGTTTGGTATTCCTTAGTCTTAAAAAGTTTAAGAAACACTGTTTTAGAAAGACATCCAAACTCGATTAAAAAATGTCCAGAGATGGAAAATGTTCCATAATCCTTGATAAATTATTCCAGTGGCTAATTACCATCTGTCATAGTTAAAAAAGTGCACCTTGAGTCTGAATTTTCCTAGCTTTAGTCTCCAGATCCTGGGCCATGTTATACCTTTATCTGCTCTTTTATAAACATTTTATTCTCCATGTAAATAAGTACTTAAGGCTGATCAAGTCTGTTTTCCTTAATATAACTTTTATTTCTTACCTAAATCAAAGGTCAAAACTAGAATTGTTCTGAAAATGTTTTGTAGACTCGTGATCAGATCTAGTGCCCTTACACAGGCAAAATACTTATTCACTTAAATTAGAGTTTTGTTTGAGTAAATTGACAGGATCAGGCTCGATGTTTGTGTTTTAATTCTGCAGTGGATTTCTTTCTAATCTAATTGATTTGGAAAGTATCATATACACAATGCCATAACTTAAGATGTGCTGTATGAAGGTTAATTCCTGCAAACCCCTCGTTAGTTATGTGAATAGTCCTTGACCATATATGTTGTCTCACTGACTTCTGTGAGGCTACTGATGCAGGATGAAATTCACCTCTGTGCAAAGGGGCCATCACAAGGACCATGTTTCATTTAGGCTAAAGGGGGTATGTGCCTTATGCAGTTGGCTCTGCATCTAGCTGTATTTCATCTATAAGGAGTAACTTAAATGAATAAAGGTTTCCCGGATCAGACCCCAAATCTGTAAGATGGAAATCTAAAAGCACACTTTCAGCTGAGTCAGTTTGTATTCATAAGGTTAATTTCAGGGTTATAATTTTTCTAATTAAAACCTAACCAAAAACCTGCTTCCCCTTCTTGTTGTTTGCAGCCACCAACGCAAAACATGAATTTGGGCCCAGGAGGAATGACTCAGAGTGCATCCAACCAATCTCTCCATTCACAGAGCAATCTTAGTGATGCAATTGGGACAGGCCTTCCTCCTTCCTCCCTCATGCAGAGTCAGATTAGCAATGGTGAGCTCTGTTCCCCTTTGTGCTGCTTTATGGTTGCCCAGCAACAAAATCATTAATGCAGAATATACTTAGAAGAGATCTTTTACAGCTCTGCAACTCACCTTTTAGGCACATGGGAATTTCAGGCAAATGCTGAAATATTCACAAAATGGCTACAGTTTATACTGCTGCTTGGATTCTATAAGGGCTCCAAACCACTTAATAGATTTATGAAACAACATTATTTTAAAACGTGATGAAAACCACCAATAAAAATACTTCAGAATTGAATGTCCTCATAGTTTTAATAGTAAACATACTTTGAGTTGTATTTTGCAACCCTTTTGCACTCATTCAGATAGCCCCGTAAAGGTCAATAGGGCGAACATGGATTGTTTAAATGAGTAAAATTAAAAGATCAGGTCTTCAGACTTCAGAGTTCTTCTAAGATAAACACCTTTTCAAAAATAAAATGCAGTTATATTAAAGTCTTCTTTTTTAGTGTAGCCTTTAAAATGTTGTATGGTATAACCAAACAGCTCACTTAGATCTTTTAATGGAAAACTATACATTTAAAAACACACTTCTGTCTGAATTTTTTATACGTGTGTTGTTGCAGGAGCACCATAAAATAATGTAACTGAAAGATTTTTTTCTATTTTTTATTTTGCTTACTTCATATACATTTGGGCTGTGTCTACGTTGGCACCCTTTTCCGGAAAAGGGATGCTAATGAGACAAGTTGGAATTTAAATATCCCCCGCGGCATTTGTATGAACATGGCTGCCGCTTTTTTCCGGCTCGGGACTTTGCCGGAGAAAAGCGCCAGTCTAGACGGGATCTTTCGGAAAATAAACCCTTTTCCGGAAGATCCCTTATTCCTGATTTTGAGAGGAATAAGGGATCTTCCGGAAAAGGCTTTATTTTTCCAAAAGATCCCATCTAGACTGGCGCTTTTCTCCGGCAAAGCCCCGAGCCGGAAAAAAGCGGCAGCCATGTTCATGATATTTAAATCTCCCGCAGCATTTGCAATTCCGACTTGTCTCATTAGCATCCCTTTTCCAGAAAAGGGTGCCAATGTAGACACAGCCTTGATGTATAGTCAGTTACACTATTTCATTTCATAATCAGACAATTTTCTCCCTTTGCTTTGATCTTTCACAAAGCACTAGAGCTGGAAAAGTTTTTTTTAAAATGGGAAAACATGATTGTAGAGTTCCACAAATACTGGTAGGAAGATTATGGGGCAGAATGTCATGAAACTACAACTTTTGTTAAATTTATTAGTGTCTCTGTAAATTGATTAATGAAGTCCTACCAACAATAGTTTTGCAGTTTAAAAAAGTGGACTTTTAAAATTTATTCTGGGCTTTCCTATTGCACTGTTCTTTGTGCCTGGTACTTAGTAACAACAGAAATCATTCAGGCCATGTCTAAACTAGGAAATTATTTCAAAATTACTAAATTCAATTGAAGAACTCTCAGTTTAATATGTTTGAACTTGCATGCCGTCGCTACAGGGAAGCATCAAAACTAGTCCGAGGCAGGCTCCATTAATGTGGATGCGCTACCTCGGACTCAGAGCCCCAGGAAGCACTCTGGGGAGCTGCAGGAGGCCTCCCGGAGGCCAGGTAGTTCAAATTAGCAGCACTGGAGCATCCACACTTATATTATTTTGGACTTACAAGTTTTGAATTAGCATTACTACTTGTGAAAAGCAGGAATATAGAGTTCAAATTTTGTGGCCTGTTATTCCGAAATAACAGGCTTGGTAGTGTGGATTCACTTCTTACTAATTTGAACCTGGGAGAGAGGGGTATTTCAGACTAGGGTCCTAGTGTAGTCCAGGGCTCTGAGAGGACTGTTCTGTGCAGTATGAATCTACATTTTCATTATTGTTGTTGTTTTTCCTTATATCTGTGTGTAAGAGCCCTGGAGATTGATGTCCTCTATTTAGCCACAGAACAGGTAACAGCAGTTTAAGTTTCTCTGTGTTGCCCCATGAAAGTGTGTCAACCTTGACCTGAGGAGACTTGCTTTAAGGGATGAAAAGGTAGTTCAGTCTTAATCCCAGTCAGTCCTTTGCCTCTGATGAGAATGTCAGCAAAACTCTGATCAGTGCCAGCTGATACTGTGATGAGGACAGCAATCCACTGGGAACTAGACTAAGACTAACAAACTAATTTCACACAGGTTACTGAACAATCATTGGATGAAAGTTACTTGCAGGCTGGGTACTCAAAATGTATATGCAATTCTGAAAATGAAGTTCTAGTATTTCTGAAAGGGCTCGTCTACACTGGCCCCTTTTCCGGAAGGGGCATGTTAATTTCAGCTATCGTAGTAGGGAAATCCGCGAGGGATTTAAATATCCCCCGCGGCATTTAAATAAAAATGTCCGCCGCTTTTTTCCGGCTTTTAGAAAAGCCGGAAAAGAGCGTCTACACTGGCCCCGATCCTCCGGAAAAAGCGCCCTTTTCCGGAGGCTCTTATTCCTACTTCAAAGTGCCCTTTTCCGGAGGCTCTTATTCCTACTTTGAAGTAGGAATAAGAGCCTCCGGAAAAGGGCGCTTTTTCCAGAGGATCGGGGCCAGTGTAGACGCTCTTTTCCGGCTTTTCTAAAAGCCGGAAAAAAGCGGCGGACATTTTTATTTAAATGCCGCGGGGGATATTTAAATCCCCCGCGGATTTCCCTACTACGATAGCTGAAATTAACATGCCCCTTCCGGAAAAGGGGCCAGTGTAGACGTAGCCAAAGTGTTTGAGTGGTAGCAATAAAGAACTGAAATTCTATGTTTATTGAACATTACAAGAACAGCACAGGAGACAGCAATGAAAGTTTCTGTGCACTGATCCTCCATTTTCCCAGCCAGGTCTTAGAAGGATCTTTGCTAGCAGTGTGAACATAGTTTAGTTCCCAATATCTAGTCAATCCTTAACATTTCTCATATGACTGCTAGCAAGTATGCCAGGTGTGATGGTGATTTTGGTGACGGGACAACAGTCTACTACAGGACTGGGCAAGATGCAGCCCAGGGGCCAGATCTTGCCCACCTAAAACTTTGATCCAGACCATGAACTGCACCTCACCACTTTCCATTTATATCCTGCTGCCCATGCCATCAAATTTCCAGGCGGTGGCTCATGCAGCAGGATCCTGTTTAAATGGCTCATGGCTTATGGTTGCACTGCTACCTCAGCAGGGGTGGAGCCGGAAGCCTTTTAAATAGCAGCAGCAATCCCAGGTGGCTGCTAGGCAATCCGGTAGTGGCAGGGCCACGAGCCTTTTAAATTGCTGCTATTTAAAGGGTTCGCAGCTTCTGGGCATTATCCCGGCAGAGACTGGAGTCAAGAGACCTTTAAATAGCGACAGCAAACCGGGCGGCTGCCAGTCAACATGGTAGTGATGGGGCTGGGAACTGCGAGCCCTTTGCTGTGTTCTTACTTCAAAGCCACTGGCCCCAAACTACTCTGGGGGGGAAGCTAGTCTCTAGCCCCACACGTTCAAACCAGGCCCTGCCCCTTCCAGGAATGGGGGTGGGGATTAGTGCCAGCCCATGACCAGTACCAATATTCATTAAGTGGCCCCCCTGTGAAAATTATTGCGCATCCCGGTCTACTAGAAAGTGGACAGAAACTACTATTAACAATTCAAATAGACCACATGACACACCAATTGGAAGTCAGTTGTTTCCCAGGCCTTTGATGTATAGCTAAAACCTCCAAAATTAAACAGCCAGTTTATAAGTTCTGCTGATGCAGCGTGTAAAGTCTGTCTGCCATACCGTTCATGGTCAGTCGCAGTATTGTTAATCCCATGCCTTCAAAAAGCCTGACTCAGACCCCAGAAACCACAACCTTGGTTTTAAAAAAAATCACAAGATTTGAAAAAAATGTTAAGTGCGTTGTGTTTGCCTTCTGGTTTTCAAGCTTCAAGTATACTTCAGTCATATTTTATAGTTTTTATCTGCAACTAGGAGTGCCAAAAATTTGTTTTTTAAATTAAAGCTGAAAATCTAATGTAGTAACATAAATCTGTGTTCTTGGGCTTTAAGATAACTCTTGCAATATTTGTAGGTTATCTGCACCGTGGTCAGTTCAGCCTGCAATATTTGTAAAATCCATCAACAGAAGCACTCTCACTCAGAGAGATTATGAACTCCATTCTTCACTCAAATTCCATGTTGCCATCTGTTTCACTGAAGGACAAGTATTAGCTTTATAAGAAAGACATACATAACCATAGGGTCAGACTTCAGCAGCCATAAATTGGAATAGCTCCACTGACTTCAACAGAACTATACTAGTTTACTTTTGCTGAGAATGTGGCCCATAGCCTCTCTGTAAGGGGGAGAAATAACCTAGCAAGTTTTCTCATTTCAATATTTGTAAATACTTTAAGAATACCTAAGGAAAACTGATATTCCAAAAAGGCTAAGATGCTGTTCATGTTGTAAACACAATTAATATTAATTAAAACAACGTGTACATTTTATTGGGATTCTGCATTTATCTCCATCTAAATTGGAGGATCTCAAACTGGGGGTTGGGACCTCTGGGGAGTTACAGGTTATTACATGAGGGGGTCGCGAGCTACCAGCCTCCACCCAAACCCTGCTTTACCCTCAGCATTTATATTAAATATATACAAAAAGTGGTTTTAATTTATGGGAGGTGGGGTCACACTCAAAGGCTTGCTAAGTGAATTGAACACAAGTACTAAAGATTGAGAACCAGTGACTCAATGGTCTTGCAACAATGGAAAACAGTACACAGTAAAAATGGTGAAGTTTGCAAAAAATGCTGTTAAAAGAATTCAGATCAATACTGCATATGAAATCAGGACCTGGTCCTACATAAATAAAGTTAGTTATCCAATAACAGAAAGAGCTAAGATAAATAAATACATGATAAGGTAAGTAGGACAGTACTTATAGCCCCGGGTACAACCAAAGTATATTGGTAGATATTTTTATTGACTGTTGGCTTTTATTAGTATACTACATATAACTGACCACAACTTTTAGCTGTGTCTGTAAAAACAAGGTTAGCTTCATCGACTGGGTAACCTTGAGCACGAATGAGTCCTCATGATACTGGAAAGTTGAATGAAGTTATATGTTTCCTTCTTGTGCAACACCAAGTGAAAACTAGGAATTTCTGCCCTTCTCACTGTCATGAGAGATCAGGAATTTGTATATTGCCAAGTCAGCAAAGAACTCTGAAATCACCTCCAAAAAGTATGGATGCCAGGAAATTACTTTGAGTTATTTATGCTAAAGGCTATCATAGGCCTGTTTGGTTTACATATTTGGTTGTTTACTCAAGAAAACTTGTATTTCGTGCATGTGTTGGCTCAGAGGCCCTTATGAAACTTTCTTGTCCTTATTTACGGCCCAATCCAAACCCCACTGAAGTCAGTGGGAGTCTCTGAGTTGACTTCAGTGTACTTTGGATTGGGATCTTACAGAGTTCTATAAAGGCAAAATCAGCCATGCAAGCACATACAATGTCCCAGTCCCAGTTGACAGGATACTATTAGTATGAATCTTAAAGGTTTCATTTCTAGTGCAGAGGTCAAGCCAGCTAATGAACTGGGAAGGGAAGGGTAATGGTCATGGTAGAAGGAGCTAGCATGATGTTTTGGAGAATTTTGTCTCTGAAATTATTTGGTATCTTC